ATTCCTTTGAGGGCACTGCTATTTCACAGTCAGTTTTGCAAAAAACATATGAAATATGTTTCTCCACAATTTATAACATTGATTCTTAATATAGGTGTTACACGTTGTACTTACTTGGTATGCATTTAAAAAAAAACTCAGTAGTTGAATTTGGTAGTGTTTACCAGTTTTTTATTGTTTACATTCCAGTTCAAAGGAAATATGGTCTTCTTGGGTTTTTACGAGTTTCTCTCAACATCAAGAGTTTTTTTTTTCTTTTTCTTTTTAGTGACAGTCAGTAGGCTTTAGCAAGTTTCCCACGATTGACTGCATTATTGAATAGGGAGGTGCCCTGCCTTTACAATTACAACTGGATCATTTGGAGTTGCAGACAATTAGTCGTTCAATAACTGTGAGCCACCTGACACAAAGATATTGTTGATCTGAAGTTACGTGAGAGTAAATAGCTACATCACTGCGTTTGTATGTGAAACCATCCGATATGATGTCTTCCCATAAGCATCGCTCGGGGCAGCAGAGCGAACAAAATGACAAGGTGATGAGAGGAAGGGAGAGGCGCAGGTTCAAGACATGTTTATCACCACCAGCAGGGGGCGATGAAAAGCGAATGACCAAGAGCAGGTGAATGGAATACGTAGGCACACACCCACTGGCCTCGCACTTGCTATAAGCTGTACCAAGACAAACAATGTCTAAACTTGTTCTTGGTTTTTACGGTCTTGCCGTGAGGCGTTTTGGACTGAACAAGCATTCCTTTAAAAATACCTCACCCACAACAAATCACACACCCCTCATTTGATCAGGGCTGGGTTCATCTCTTAATTCTTAATGTTCAACCACTTTGTCAAATATTAGAGTGGGAGTTCAGCAAGTAATCAGGGAGATGATTAGGCCTGGGTTTGTGTGCAGAGCCCTTCATGAGAATATAATGCATTTAATTGAAAGCATATTTGAAGCCACTCCCCCACAGCAGGTGTGGTGCAGCATGAGGGCGGTGCTTGCATGCGTAATGCTACGGCTAACAGGTAGAGGGCAGCATTTCTGACAGATAGTTAAAAAATTAATTTGGATACAACCCAAGAGCATGGACAGATTGGAGCCTATCCCAGTCAACAAAAGGATAGGGGAACACCCGGAACAGGATGCCCAACGCAGGGCACACACATTATGGGTCATTTAGAGGAGCCAGTCTCAAGTTTCAAGTTTATTGTTGCATGTGTTTTGAGGAATACAGTGAAATCATATGTTGCAGGGTAGGGGACAGGTGCATGCACAAACTGATGTGCAGTATGGGGAAACCAGCAGTGCAATACTGGGCAAACAACACTGCAATACAGGCCAAACAGCAGTGCCATAGAGGACAAATTGCAGTGTGATACAGGACAAGTAGTGGTACAACACAAGACAAGGCAGTATATGAGAAGACAGTGCAATATAAGAATAAATTAACTATAAATAAGTATTAGTTAAGATTTAATGGGGATAAGAATGTGTAAATTTACCACAGTATAGTAAATAATACTGCTATAGTGAGAAGTGGAATATTAACAACAACAGTACAGTGTAGTGCAGTGGGGAGATGCAGGTCACTGGTTGTTTAGCAACCTTAAGGTATGCCCCGGTAGCACCTTCTGGAAGTGCGGAGTGTGAGGAGGTCGTACTCTGGGTGACGGGCATCCCTGATGATGGACTCGGCCCGCTTCTAGCAGCGGGAGAGGTAGGTTGGTGGTAGGTGAAGGAGATCAGGGCTGGGGATCTTCGTGGCCGGCTGTTTGAGGTCCTGAGCTGTTACGTTACCCAGCCACACCATCATGCTTCCGGTCAGGAAGCTCTCAATGGCACAGTGGTAGATCACCAGGGTTTTGGTTCCCAGCCCAAAGCTCTTCAGGCGCCTTAAGGAGGATAGCCTCCGCTGAGCTTCCATGAGGATGCAACTGCTGATGAGAGACCATGAGAGGGAGCCAGTGATCTGGACGCCCAGGAACCTGAAGGTGTTGACTTCATCTGATGGTGTGTTTTTTGACCATAGGAGTAACATGCAAACTCCACACCCAGAGATGGGGTGGGATTCAGACCCCCGCGCAGTGGTATGAGCAAACAGCACTGCTCACTGTGCCACTGAGCTGCCAACAGAGAGCCCATGCTTTTATTTCTGAGAAAACGGTGGAGCTTGTTTCTAGTGGGAGCACTCCAGCTTGCAGCATGGCTTATTTGCAGTGGGAGCACTCCAGCTTGCAGCATGGCTTATTTGCAGTGGGAGCACTCCAGCTTGC